CTGGACTGTTTTGGATTGCTAGCTATTGGGGGGGGGGGAACGTGCAGATCTGTCCTCGCAGAGGAGGGAGAGCTTGTACCTGAATAAAACGTGGTCTTAAAGGTGCCACTGGACTGTTTTGGGCCAGGGGGCGGCGGCTCTGCAACTTACCTGGCTGCTTCTTGCTCTGACTGAGGGCTGCTGGGAGCAGGAGGTGGGGCTTGTTGCATGTGCCCGCCCCCTGGGCTCTTTACTGCCGGAGCTCTGCTCCGGTGCACTCCTGCAGGAAATGACCCCTGCTCGTAAAAAAATATAGCCTAAACCCAAGGGCCAGTACACATGAACTGACGTGTTTCTGCCCTATTGGGGCCTTCTTCAGAGATCAAACTATATTGAGGTTGTCATGCAAAATAGCCTCCATTTTAGTTGCTTGCAGCTTGCTTGACCAAACTTTAGTCAAAAAGGATTCTGGGTCTGTGCTAGGCCTGGAATGTGCTATCAAAGTATGTTGGTGTAAATCTTAGAGGTGCCTGCAAGTCTCTGGGCCTCTTGGTCTCCTTGTGCCTAGTGTCTCCTTAAGACCTGGATGACCTTGATAGGGGGAGAGTTATGTTTCTCACTCCCTTGGTTCCACCAGCTGCGAATAGTTAGCAGTATGGCCTTGGAGGCCATCAATTCATTAGCCACATTCCCAAGTGATTGCACCTGCATTGGGAGGAGCATTGGGTTATCTGCTGAACTTTAGGTTTCGATCCCCCAGTGCTCACAAACAAGTATTATGGGATAGTCTGGTTACCTTAGTGACTGGCAACTGTGACATCACTGTTGCAGGATTGTGAGTGGCTAACAGGCCTGAGCCACTCGTGACCCCTTTTTTCTATAAGAACCTATGCTCTTGGTAACTAGCAAGTGGATTCCTTGGGGTCTGGGGCCAAGCCAGTCTAAGACTCCTAGCAACCCGCCATAATGCCATGATGCTTGGAGTTATCATCCTGAGGGAAGATGTTGCTTGGACTTATACTTTATACCTTTGGACTTTGTTGCGCCTTTGAACCTAATATGGGTAAACCGCTCGTACATGCTTGTAAGTATTAGCTATGCTGGAAATGCTTAGAGTTTGTTATTTTGTTCCTGCACTATCTAAGTCTCGTGTTTTATAACTTTGCACAATTTATTTAAATAAAGAAACTATATTTTTACCTTGTCTGGGTTACTTAGCCTCAAGAGTTTCAAAGCCTAAATCCTCGTGCCTTAAGGCTGCTGGTCTTTCTACTACCAATTGTGTCTTTTGGTTCAAGCCCTGTAGTGGAGGCTGCAGAAGCTTGTCCTTTTGAATGGTGTTCCTTGGTTTAGCCGAGAGACTTCCGTTACTTTGCTCCTGGCTGGTTGGGAACCCCATAAGTAACGTGGTGGCAGACTACTGTTGATAATTCCTGTGCTTTTGTTCCTTGTAACCCCAGCCTGAGGTCCTGGAGGGGACCCCAGACTGCTACAGAGGTACACATAACTTAAATACATATTGCAATAAGTTAACCAATAAGTGAATATTGGACCAGGAAGAGGAAGGTTAAGCAGCAAGATCTTGTCTATTATAAGTTTCAACTAGGTTTTTAATACTAGCCCTTCATTAGACTTTCTTCTCACCCTTTTGGTTCTTGGTTCCAGTTTTTGGGTCAGGTTTGTTTTCACCTCCCTGTGTCTTACTGGGACCAATTCAGAAGCCTATTAACGAGTATCACAATTAACTACAGATTCAGATGGGTAGCCGTGTTGGTGTGAAGCTACAGAACAATGTTTGAGTCCAGTGACACCTTTAAGACTTTGTTGATGATACCTTTCTTAAAGGTACCATCGGATTCAAACAATTAATTACTGCCTACTTCTATGCTGGCAAATGTAAACACATTTGATTTTTTTAAAAAAATAAAAAAATTATTGGATGACAAAACATATACAGATATTGATTTAGAAATTTAAAATTATTTTAAAAATGACTCCTACTCTAGTGTCTCAGGTCATCTGGGATGCAATGAGGGCATTGGTCAGAGGGAAGTTCATTGCAATTACTTCAATTTTCTGTGGAGACCTCCCCTCTAGTGCCCACTGTCTTTGCGAGGTTGCCGGTGAGCTGTTGAAAGGGGGGGTGTCACTTATTCTTCAGCCCATTGATAATTAGCTTAGTGGATGCGGCCTACTGTCTACCCCTGTTACCAATAGATTAGTCTGTCAGCCAAACAATAGCCCTTCATATTTTGGTTTCCTCATTTGTTCCCAGTCAAATTTGTCTATGTTCATTTTCTCTAATACAGGGTACCATTTATCCATAGGGTTAAGCAGCTGATGTTCAGCATCTTTGTTACTTGTCCAGAACGAGATTTTCTCTTGTAAGAAAAAGTCCCATTGTTGCATCGTTGGAGTGGAGTCTGCTTTCCATTTGCTTGCTAATAGCACTTTAGCAGCTATTAACAGAACATTAATTAGTTTTTTCTTAATTTCGGGTACACCATCTGCAGGCCAAAGGTGGAGCAAAATAAATGCCGGGTCATATGGTAACCTGTTAGAGCTTGGATATTTTGGATAATGTATTTCCAATACTGAGCAACAAACGGACAATCCCACCATGCATGTATGTATGATGCTTTCTGACCGCATCGCTTCCAACACAGTGGTGAAGTATTCGTGTATATATGCGCCAATTTTACAGGCATAAGTTACCATATGTGTAGCACTTTCATCGCTGATTCCTGAATATTGAGGGAGTTTGATATTTTCGCATGCGTTTTCCAGATGTCTTCCCGTTGATCGTCTGTCCAGTTTGCAACCACACTTTTTTTCCAATTCACCTTTGGATAATAGCTTGCCCTTGGCCGCAATGTCAATTGGTCTCGTCAAATTCGCTGTCTTCCAATTGTGGAAGGAGTTCGATTCCAATGCGGGTGGGAACCAGCTTTGTCCAGTGAATGTACTTAATGTGGAGGGAGAATTGGTTAAAAGGGATCTGTTAGCAAACCAGATTTTCAATGTGGTTTTCAAGTACGGGTTGGATAACCTTTTCAACATCAAGCGATGGTTTGTTGTCCACAGAATCTCTTTGAAGTCGCTTTGTGGTATCAAGTTTAGTTCTATATGATGCCAGTCCAGCTCTGCTGATTGGTGGTATTGACGAATCCTAGCACTCCTGCGCCTAGTCCATCGGCCACCAGTGAGGGATACCGGCCATCTGGAACTTTAAAATGAACTCTGAAACTGAATCTTATTACGAATTGTAAAGCACCCTTTTAGCTGTATTTATTGAATTTTTAATGTATTTTATGTTTTGTTTTTCGGCTTGCCACTTGTTTGCCGCCCTGGGCCGCTCGGGTAGGGCGGGATATAAATCCCAAAAATAAATAAATAAATAAATAATAGATTGGCTAGTTGTGATGCTAAGTAATATAGTTGAAAATCCAGGATTGCAAGCCCTCCCTTTCGAAGGGGTTTTCTGGTAGTTGCAAATTTAACTCTGGGACGTTTGAAGTGCAAGGTAACGTTCGAAAGGTTTTTCTGCCATTTTGTTAGCGAGGAGTTGGGAAGATTTATCGGGAGAGCTCTAAAGCAGTATAAATATTTAGGGAAAATAAAAGATCGATTTGTCTGAATGCGGTCCAGCCATGATATCGCGTTATCGTTCCACTTCCGTAGCAGGTCAGACACTTCGGCATTGATTACTTCGTGGTTAAGTTTAATTAAATCTGCAGGGTTTACCGGCAATTTAATTCCAAGATATGATATGTAGTTCTTTGCCCATTGAAACTGGTATGTCGCTTTAAGTAGAGATGTAGTAGCTTGGTGTAATCTTATCAGGGAAATGATAGATTTCGTGGAATTGATTTTCAAACCTGCCACTTCTCCAAATGATGTTAAGGTCTGTTGAATTACCGGAAGAGTTGTTAGAGGGTCTGTGACGTGGATCGTGAGGGCATTGGGGAAAAGGCTCACCTTAAATTCTTTTCCATTAATGCTGTGACCTTTAATTTTAGGATTGTTTCTTAAAGCTTGAGCTAGAGGTTCCATTGTAAATACATTTAATGAACACATGAAGCTGCCTTATACCGAATCAGACTCTTGGTCCATTGAGGTCAGTGTTGTCTACTCAGGCTGGCAGCAGCTCGCCAGGGTCTCAGGCAGAGGTCTTTCTCATCACCTAACATCTGGTCCTTCCAACTGGGGACTGAATGTGGGATCGTCTGCATACCAAGCGGATGCTCTACCACTGAGCTTTGTATGCCTCTCTGGCATAGCACAACTAAGATGAGGACAAGTGACACAGAGGGTACTTGGTCATATGAATACGGAATATGTTGTGAGAATGTCAGTCATAGTGTAGTACGACAAAGGCATGGGCTAAAATCAATGCTCCCTCTAAGCTGTGGGGTCTTGTGAGCAAATATTCTACTTAATTTATTTATTTATTTAACTATTTATTTAACTATTGGCACAAATTGAAGGGAGTACCTACTGATCACCTTTCAAACAAGTTGCTTCCTTGCTTTCCAAAAAGGCCCTAAATGGCTATCCAAATACAATAGTATATTGCAAATCTATAACCTTCCAGATGTAATCCATGAGCCTCTTCGGACCAACTTTAATGGCAGGGAGCAAATATATACCCAGGATGCCGCCCAAGACTGGCAAGTCATCCAAGAGAATAAATCCTCACCCCAGTAAAAACTAATCAAATCAGACCATCAAAGGGCCCAATATTTAACCAAGATCTCATATAGCAAATGACATTCTGCACTAACTTCAATCTGCTTTCAGTCAATGCAATCAGCAATGCTTGAAGGCCGCTATACCAGCACACCTGCTGCCCAGCGTTTCTGCCCACGTGGAGGCTCAGTGCCAGAAGACCTGTGCCACTACCTGTTATTTTGCCCACTCTATCAATCCCCTAGGAAGAAATTTCTAGGCCCAATTTTGGCCGCCCTAGGCACTAGAACAGAAACAGAAAAAACTGTAATTTTACTAGCAGAAAGAGACCGAGATTTCACACAAGGTGGCCCTCTTTGCCCTTGCTGCAGAGAAAATAAAAAAAAAATAGTAGCAGGCTGCCAATGTTCCCTCTAAACTATGGAGTCCTGTGAGCAAAAATTCTACTCTGTGAGCTACTGGCATTAAAGTTGTGAGCAAGCAATTTGGCTACTGCATAAATTAGTTTGCTCTGAAGCCATCCTTCCTGAGCTAAGACAAAAATGTGTGAGCCAGAGGCTAAAAAACTGTGAGCTAGCTCACACTAACTCAGCTTAGAGGGAACACTGGTTGCAGCACCATAGCTCAATTAGTAATGGAGTGCTCAAAGGCTTTAATGCAGCAGAGCTTGGGACTAGGTGTGGCAACAGACTTACAAAATTACACGGAGTCAGCAGTCAGTTCAAAAGCACATAAGCAAATTTTATTAAAGGAGATACATGCTTGAGGGTGCAGGTGAGAGATAGATATAGATGACCTATTCTAACTAACTAGATGCTGTTGGATGCTGGGCGCATGTCCAGCCTCCATGGTGCAAAATGGAGATCATGCACTTTCTTTGCAAGCATGCGAGAGAGAAGAGAGTGTGAGTGGAAGCAGAGGAAATTGCCCCTAAGAGAATAATTCTACTTCAAAGGAAAGGATCAGATAGCAGGATATAGGGATGTGCAAAAATAATAAAAAAAATTCAGCCCATTTGGATTTGGCAGAATTGGGCAGAATCAATTTTGGCTGGCAGTAAGACTCCCACATGTCAGTTTGGTCAGTACGAGCCGATTCGGAAGTCTTTTGGCCAGTCGAATGTCAATGTCAGCCCCATTATATCCTATGGGGTCACAAAGAGTCAGACTCGACTGTGCGACTGAACAACAAATATCCTATGGGCCAATGAAGTCAATGGCGAAAACATAGGGTATATTCTGAGGGCTGGAGGGGCGGAGGTTTGAGGGAGAGACTCCAAACTCACAGGTTAGCTGCTGGAGCCTCTCCCCAAGATACCAACCAAGTTTCAAGAGCATTGAACCAGGGGGTCCAATTCTACGGGCCCTCAAACAGGTTGCCCCTATCCCCTCCATTCTATATAGTGGGGAAAAGTTACTTATTCAGTTAAATATTCAGAGATTGCAGTGGATCTTAGCTTCACTGGAGAGGAGGCATTTTCTTCTATGTAAAAATCTTTATTTCTAAGGGAAGGGTTCACAGGAAATCTACAAAATGACAAAGACACCTAAGGCTACATCTTTACGCTTTGACCACATGGCCTACAACAATGGAGATTCTTCTTCTTCTTCTTGACTCCTAGAAGGAAATCACCTGAATACATTAACCAATGATTGTGAGTAAACAGACTTCAGTTTCATGGGCTTTGTTTCCATTGGCTCTGTGTCAGGTATCCTTCCAGGTCAGTCTAAACAATAGTACACAAGGTAAGCACACATTAACCCTATAATGACTGAATTTTAGACCTTGCAACACACATATTTCCAACACTCAAGGAGGTGTGCCTGGCCCTCTCACTTTAGATCTTTGGAAGGCAGTTGAAGACAATTTTATTTAGGACCACATTTGACTAATTTAGGCTCCGGTCACACTGGGGGAAATAGGTGTGGCCAAAGTGCGGCTTTTTTGAGCCGCACCAAAAGAGACGCGCGGCGGCAGGATCAGACAGATCCCCCGAGCTGCCGCGCAGTTGCTCCCCGGCATGATCAGATGCCGGGGGCAAACCACGGACTGCAGAGCGAGGCGAGCCCGCTGCGCAT